CATCATCGCGAGCTGCTTCACGGATTAACACTCTGCAATGTGACAATGTTTAAATGCGCCAGAAATTCTCCGTAGAATCAGTGTGTCAACAAAGAAGCAAGCGCAGGTTTTGACTGCGAAAGTAAGTCCCCACACGTCTGCTTCCCATTTCGCCCGCTTTTCAAGAAAACTTGATAACACTCATGGCAGTAGCATGTGCGCTTTGACAAAGTTACTACTCTCGTGAAAATCCCGGGAAAGGCCACTGGCCTGTAGATTTGAATTTTTATGAGGCAGTTACAGCGAGTGCATGAGCGTTTTGCAGCAGCTACCGAGAATTTTTTTCTTGTTTTTAGGGGGATTTTGGCGGAAGGACAAAGCTGTACGACTGTCGTACAGGTTGACGATCCACGATCTTACGAAAAACAAAAAATCCGAAATGTTGACATAGTTGAAGTTGGCAGTGCTCGAAGAAGTTAAAAATAGAAATAATAAAAACACTAGCTTCCCGTTATTTTCGGGATGATTCTGAAGCATATCTTTTTTTTGCCTCTCTCTGCTACCTAAACGAGCATCCCCGGCTCTTCCACAGGTCACCAAGTCGCAATTCACAGCCCGACCCGACCGGGTCTGATTTTATTAGTTGTCGTACTTGCCCTGTTTTGTGTGTTTGTGAAAGCGAGCAAATTGCCATTCACCCGTTCCTAGTGGGAAGTTCTGCGGTGAGAAGTGCCAGTAGCAGAACAGTAAAGTGGAGGCAGGCAGTTCAGAAAGGCAGTGGAATTTTACACAGCTCAGTTTGGCATCCTGGCTATCTTCATTTCTCGGTGATATCGATGGACTGCATAGCGATAATTTCGGCATTTCAGCCCCAATTTCCCTTTTATTGCTATCGAAATTTGCATTTTCAGGATTGGCAGAAAATCTGGGATGATGCTTTCTGGGTGAACCGTTTGAGAATTGAGTGCTTTGTTCGCAGCGAATCGAAAATGCATTTATGTTGTGCGCGACTGCGGTTTTTTTATATGAGGCATGCCTCCTCGCGTCGGGAATTCTCGAGTCTGTCAGATAGATTGAGTCCAGCGAAATTCATCAATCAGTTAATTGCTTATATCGATGATGTGACTGGTGCCACTGAAATTCGTGAAGCACATGCTACTTTAAAACAGGTTCTCTTTGAGATTGACTGATTTTAGGCAGTTTTAGGAGCAATGCATTCAAAAAAGTCAAATTCTTGCTATGGGCAGGGCGGAGACTTTCAATTTGCTGGTTTTACTCATTTTGTTGAGTGACTTTTTTGCATCAAATAACGATTGAGACTGATAAATCGGATGTTTATTTCTTGCAGAATGAAAGAAGACTGCAGGAGGCGCAGGTGTTGCGGCGTGAAAAACGCGATGAGCTGGATCAGCTACAGAACCGAATGAAGCATATCCACAGTGAATTGGATAGATTTTCCCGTGGAGATGACAAGTTCGTTTTTTTTGGTACTTTTTAGCTGTTTATTAGCTTTCGTACGATTACTAGCTTCTAAAAACATTGTCTTTTGAATGTCTATGAACCAGTTACTTTTCTGTTTTATTTTTTACGCGTTGTGAGTTTGATGCATATTTCGGGCATACAGTGAAGTATGG